GCTGGCTTGCAGAGCCCGATGGTTGACTGTCAGTCGAAATGTGTTCATCCTCCCCGACATTGAAGAAATCTGTTATACGTGCGTCTACCTTACCTCTGCCCGCCATCTTCGTCGAAAGTTTGGACGCCGCGCGGCGAAATCAGAATATACATTTCAATTGATGACGAAACTGATACAGTAGCGCGCCGCGTGGGTGTTATTTGTTTATAAAGAATTTAGTCTGACTGACTCTCTCCCTCTCTCTCCTCTCGCTTGCTCTCTCTCTCTCTTTCTCTCGCCCCCCCCCTCTCTCTCGATCTCTCTGCAATAAAAAAAATGTTTGCTAAAATGATGTGTATGCAACTGCGTATCTGCATATCTGCGCCTAACAAAGGTGTCACTACGCACGACTGAAATGTTACGTTTATAACCGTAGCAACAGACCTCAGATGAGCCCAGTCGCTCTGCGGCACTTGTGTTACGTTAAGTGTTTTGCCAGTGCAGCAGCTGCAAATGCACGTCTGTTCAATAACTGCTTTCATTGTTGTGTTCCTGTATGGCTGCTGTAGATTATCTCATGATTCAGGCATGAGAATTTTCCGCAGATTCGCGGATTTCCGGGTTTTGGTTTTCATTTTGGTCGTTCTTGAGATCAATGCAAAAAACTAATAAAAATTTGAGGCTAATAAAAAACTTTTCTTGTCAAAATGGACACCATTTTTAATTTTAACTCAATATAAAGTCAGGGAAAGTACGTCGAATTTCAGACAGAAGTGACGGAACTCCAGATAAATATCGCGGGGTATCTATGTAATGTAAAGGGCTTTTCCCTATTCTCATGCGTACCAAAACTCGGTGACAATGGTTCATAGAAAATGATAATTCAATGAAATATTTTCTCCAAAAACATCTCAACCTGTTCTCATGCTTGTCTGATTAGAGTCCACGTTTGCTATAGACATGCGTGAAATCGCGTGTAGCACGCTTTTTGAGTGGTGAAATATCATGCGATATAAACTATCGCTCCTCTCACCATGACCTTTACTGAATAGTCGGTCTTTTCTGGATCGAGTTGGATTACGAAAATGATATATATTGCTTCTTGATGAGATTAGTTGACGCTGCCCTAACGCACTGTAAGCAGAGTAACATTCTGTTTAGACTCTGCGTGCATGTGTGTGTGCGTGCGTGTGTAATAATGATTTCCTTCCTCACTAAGTTATCCGTGATCGTATATTGGTTCGTGGTCTACGTAGCTTATTAGAGATATCGTTGTATGCCTCATATAACTCACTGAACAATGGATGATCATGTACGTATTGCAAGCACAAACATCTTTACTGATCCAGATAAACTATACATATAATATGTGCCCCTGTACTGAGCCGAACATATACAAATAGGTACACGACATACAAACAGAACTTACATATCAGAAGGTGATCAAGCTAGACGTAACCGCAGCAGTAATACTAGAGATACGTGTGGTGGCTAAATCGCAAAGTGCGGAGAGTATCATAATTTCCTGGACGGCACCTTAAGTAGTGACGCCGTCCGCATTGTTTTAGCCAACGCGCCCCCATTGGTCGAGCCATCTTGAGGGACCGCTGGTCAAACGTGCCCCCTGCACGCGCGTTCCGATTGGTTGGCTTAGGTCGTTAGCCATGCCCCGTGGCTGCCCGACCCACGTGCGTTCGGTAAGAACAAAGAGCTTTGTTCTTACCCATGCTACGTCGTCCTTCTTATTCGTATTCTGATTATTATAATTATTATTACCTTCTCTTTCTTTCTGTATTACACGTGCATGCGTGCGTATGTGCGTGCGTGAGTGCATGCGTGTGCGTGTATGTACAGGTGCGTATCCCTTTAGGGTTGGCCTGCCACACTTGGTTGGCTCAACGATTTATTTCAGTGAACTATTAAATATGTTAAAAAACGATGCGTACCACGTTATTTATAACCAAGGTATATATAAAAGTATAGGGATAAGTATAGGGAAAAGTATAGGGATAAGTATAAGTATAAGGTATATATAAAAGTAGGGATTGGCAAAGAAAGTCAAAAAAGTAATAGTAAGTAAAAGTAAAAACACTTAAAAAAAAGTAAAACACAAAGTAAATAAAAACATAGAAACGCGCTCAAAATATCAAAACGCGTAAAATGCGGCGCTCGTTAATTAACGATGCTAACGATGTTAATTAGCGATGCTAACGATGTTAATTAACGCGGTGCTAACGACGTTGCAGAACGACGCGCCGACACGGCTGCGGCAGTGCTATGAGGCGATCCGGCATGAGGAGGGAGACGTCATCAGGGTGCGAGACTGCGTGCTACTGCGCTCCGGCTTCCGAAAGAAGGACCTTCCGTTCGTCGCGAAGATATCAGCTTTCTACGAGAATCCCGACGACGGTGAGCCGTGAAAAATGTTAAATAATTAAAGTATTATAATAATAAATAATTAAGTTAGACGTTCAATGCGCCGAGAACAATCCTCACGAAGCTGAGCCACGGGCGTGAAAATTAAAGGCAGCGGTTAAAATAAAGAAATTTAATAGAATTTAAGAGGAAAAATATTAAAACCAAAATGCGACTTTTAGCAGTGGTTTTTTTTCCCGTAGACGAGCTGAGCCACACACTCGCAGATTCCCAATTTCCCTTAGTCTACTGCGCGTTATCACCCATAGGCTTAAATATTGGACCTAAAATATAAATAAATACAATAATAATAAAAATAAATATAGGACATAAAATCTTATATTATATATTTTAATATATTTTAAAATCATGAAATCCCCGACGGACATCACTAGCTATCGCAACATGTCTGTGATGTGTGCTGCTGAGGTGCGCTGCTGAGGTGCACTGCTGAGGTGTGTGTGTGTGTTGTGTTGTCAGGTGAAATAATGATGGGTTTGCTGTGGTACTACCGACCTGAGCACACGGAGCTGACGAACCTGCCCACCTGCGTCGCGGCAGAGCTGTTCGCCAGCAAGCACCAGGATGAGAACAACGTTGCCTGCATCGAGGACAAGTGCTACGTGCTCACGCCGCATGAGTACGCGAGGTACGTGTCGTCTCTGTCTCGCACGCTCGCTGCGTGCGATTGTGCGAGTTATGTGTCGTCTCAATCACTCTTGCGCTCACGTTAGTGTGCTAGATGTGTGTTCTTTCACATTGCACAAGCTTGCCAGGTGTGTGTTCTTTCACATTGCACAAGCTTGCCAGGTGTGTGTTCTCTCACATTGCATAGGCTTGCCAGGTGTGTGTTCTTTCACATTGCATAGGCTTGCCAGGTGTGTGTTCTTTCACATTGCACAAGCTTGCCAGGTGTGTGTTCTTTATCATTTCACAAGCTTGCCAGGTGTGTGTTCTTTCACATTGCACAAGCTTGACAGGTGTGTGTTCTTTCACATTGCACAAGCTTGACAGGTGTGTGTTCATTCACATTGCACAAGCTTGCCAGGTATGTGTTCTTTCACATTGCATAGGCTTGCCAGGTATGTGTTCTTTCACATTGCATAGGCTTGCTAGGTGTGTGTTCTTTCACATTGCACAAGCTTGCCAGGTGTGTGTTCTTTCACATTGCACAAGCTTGACAGGTGTGTGTTCTTCAACATTGCATAGGCTTGCCAGGTGTGTGTTCTTTCACATTGCACAAGCTTGCCAGGTGTGTGTTCTTTAACATTGCACAAGCTTGCCAGGTGTGTGTTCATTCACATTGCACAAGCTTGCCAGGTATGTGTTCTTTCACATTGCATAGGCTTGCCAGGTATGTGTTCTTTCACATTGCATAGGCTTGCCAGGTGTGTGTTCTTTCACATTGCACAAGCTTGCCAGGTGTGTGTTCTTTCACATTGCACAAGCTTGCCAGGTATGTGTTCTTTAACATTGCACAAGCTTGCCATGTGTGTGTTCATTAACATTGCACAAGCTTGCCAGGTGTGTGTTCTTTCACATTGCACAAGCGTGCCAGGTATGTGTTCATTCACATTACACAAGCTTGCCAGGTGTGTGTTCTTTCACATTACACACGCGTGCCAGGTGTGTGTTCTCTCGTGCTCATGCTCGCGCCTCATAATTAGCACAGGCTATATGACTACAGTGTCACATTAGTATGCCAGGTACATGTTCTCTCATGTCACATTAGTAGGTCAGCTACATGTTCTCTCATGTCAGATAGTATGATCCAAGCCTACCTGTTCTCTCATGTCACATTAGTAGATCAGCTACATGTTCTCTTCATGCTCACATTAGGAGTCAGCTACATGTTCTCCCTCATGTCACATTGTAGATTCAGCCTAGCATGTTCCTCTCATGTCCATTGAGTAATGGCGCAGGTACATGTTCTCTCATGTCACATATAACTCAGCGTCAGCTAACATGTTCTCTCATGTCACATTAGTAGACTGCAGCTACAGTTCTCTCATGTCACATTAGCTAGATCAGCGTACAATGTCTCTCAGTGTCACATTAGTAGCATCACTACATATTCTCTATGTCCATTAGTAAGATCAAGCTACATGTTCTCTCCATGTTACATTAGTAGATCAGGCTACTTTGTTCTCTGCATGTCAATTATGTATATCAGCTTACACTGTTCTCTTCATGTCACTTAGTAGATGTCAGCCCTACATGTTCTCTCATGTCACATAGTAGATCAGCTACTTTTTCTCATGTCACATTAGTATATCAGCTACATGTTCTCATCAGTCACATTAGTAATCAGCTACATCTTCTCTCATTGTATCATTTATAGCGTCAGCTACATGTTCTCTCATGTCACGATTAGCTAGATCAGCTACATGTTCTCTCATGTTACATTAGAATAATCAGCTACATGTTCTCTCATGTCACATTAGTAGATCAGCTACATGTTCTCTCATGTCACATTAGTAGATCAGCTACATGTTCTCTCATGTCACATTAGTAGATCAGCTACATGTTCTCTCATGTCACATTAGTAGATCAGGTGTATGTTCTCTCATGTTACATTAGTAGGTCATGTGTATGTTTTCTCACTCTCACTCTGCACGAGTACATGATGTAACCATGTAAATTGTAGAAAAAATTTTGCCTACGGTTCTCAGTTGCCGTCGAAGAAGTAGGTTATTCCAGCTCCCCCGCCGCTTCCCTTTATGTTGTTTTCATACGTACATGTACAAAGGAGTTTGTAATTCATAAGACAAGTTTTCGTCATTTGTTTGTAAAATGTTAAACAGATTTTGAAACTGTTATTAATTAAAGAAATTTAAAATAAAGAACACTGTATCTAAACAGGTACTGTAAGGAACAGCGGATAAAGGGTGAGCGACACAGGTGGCGCGACCTGGCGATCGTGCCGGCGAGTGAGGACCCGTTCCTGCGGCGAGACCGACAGCCCGTGCCAACGACCCACCCCGACCTTGTGTTCGTCTGCCGACGCGTGTACGACTTCCGACAGAAGCGTCTGCTAAAAAACCCGTTCAAGTAAATGGCGCCGCTGTGTCCGAACGCGTGTGGTACACACACACCGTAACTCAACTTAGCAGTGTGCAGGACATTCTGTTCCTGATCAAAAGCAGTTGACGTGGTATGACCTCTTATCTGCTTATGTCCTTGCATTTTCTCTGTAGTGTCCCGCAGATTTTTTTTGTTATTCTGCTCCATTTATTCCTCTCACCCTCGCATGATCTAGTTTTATTCCTGCTTGCAGGGACTGCGGTGAGTTAATTATTTCTTGCATGGCAACATCGGCAAGGCATGGTTATATAAATTAAATATGATGAAAATGATTAATGATGATTGAATGATATTACATTAGATGTACTGTGTCTAGGATGCATTTCTCACAACAATGGCTCATTATGTTGTATGATCTTTACCGTTATATCTCCTTTAGATGAATGAGGATGAGCAATCTATGTGAGGCTGGCTTATATTAATGAGAGTTGCAGATGATACCTGACTAATTACCTCCGCCAGGGGCTTGGCGGAGGTTATGTTTTCACCGGCGTGTGTTTGAGTGTTGGTTTGTGGGTTTGCACACGCTCGCTGATTGGCTGATTGGCCCGCCACCGCCGCCTCCACGCCGGAACCGCCTGTATCATACAGGTTAAGCCTAACTGAAAAAGTTATGGACGGATTTCGGATACGTCGGATAATTTTCAGGATACGTCAGAAATGGGGTAACTTAGAATTGATTACATTTTGGTGGTGATCCGGATCCAATTAATTATTTAATTAATTAATTAATTAATTTTTTCACTTAGTTAATTAATTAATTGATAACAAATTTCACATTGAGAGAATTCAGCTGCCTTGGCGGAGGTCTGTGCTCTCCGAGTGCTCTAGTTGTATATATGTACACGTGTGTGTGCTATTACACATCATGTTATGTTCATGTTAGATACACGATGTGATCATATAGTCGACTTTCCTTAGGCATGCAGTCATTGATGATAATATCAAACGATTCAGATATTTTCCTCATTCTCATGTTTAAACTTACAGGATTTTATTGAAACACAACTAACCTCTGCACAGTTGTCGTCTGGTAGCTTATTATCTCTATAAAAAGCAGTATTAAGTGGCAAATTCTTTGGATCGAAGTGGCACAAATACATAAGGGACAGTGAATGGAACATGACATTTGTATTTTCTATAATTGTTGAGCAATTCATAGAAGCTGGCATATATGTCTGCTAGTCTTTTATAATCATGAATTCACCAATCGGTAGAAGAACCCTGGATCTGGTATGAAACGGTCATACCATGTCGTGTATACATGTAAGGACTACCCGTAATATTTTACGAATTATGAATGAAGCGTGTTATGAACACCATCACGATTACGTGTTTACGCTTTTACTAGCACTTAGCCTGGAGCACCGTTTTAATTGTCAATTGGCTCAAAATGTTGTAAGCTGAAGAGTGAGTTATTATATCGTTTGACTGTTAAGCCACCAACGTCACGTGGCTGTGTGTTACACTGCTCGCAATGAGTTTTGAATGCGTGACTCTACATGCGTTCAGACAAAAATTGTCTTATTTGCGCTGATCTGAATTTTAAAGGACTTACGTTCTTTCATGCATAGATTTGAATTTAAAAGTAATTTCGTGTTTTTCGATCACCGTGCCATGCATGTGGAGTGCGATAGTGTGATATTGCACAGGTATCATACTTCTTGCTTGAGTAATGCATTCTTATAGGATGTGATCCGTGATCAGTAGGTGTATTGGTGTTTACCATATCGCATTCTATGTTTGTAAATGGGGTTTGTAGCTGGCTGTGTGAGTGATTGCAGTAATTCATGCAGTAGTGGATACTGGTGGGAAAGGGTTAGAGACATGGCAGTATAGATATTGTATATATCGTGAACATCGGCAATCGTCATGTATACACCTTAATCTTATCGTAACTCCCACCAGCGGAGCGTGTAAATATTGTGTCAGTGGTGTTACTGTGTAATACTTATCAAGAGCTGATAATACATTTGCATAATAACGTGTTATTAGCTCTTGTACTTGTTCATATAGCTCTAGCACTGTTTCTTATGCTACATGAGTTACTGTTATTATTGAAACCCCGTTTGTTACAGTCACCATATCTTACTACTGTTCTGAGTGCACGTATTTACTAGGCTTACACATAAGGGAATTCGCTGATATTCGAATTGTGTGTGTGTGTGCGTGCGTGCGTGCGTGCGTGCGTGCGTGTGGATGAACGTGTGTGCGTGTGTGCGTGTGCGTGCGCCGCGTGTGTGTGTGCGTGTGTGTGGATGAGCATGAGATTGTGTGTGTACGGGTACAGAGGTTCATGTGCCTGTGTCTGCTTTGCAGGTAGTTGTCAGTTCTTCCTGCCATCGTCACTGTTTAGTTGTGCCTTGTCCGATGAAGTGAAGGTCACGATTATATTGATGTGCTGCTTTGATATTGTACATATATGGAAAGAGTTGTTGTTGTTGTTGTTGCAGCAGCTCAGTATCATGTTTTGGCATAAATTTCGCACTGATTTCTCAAAGGTGGCCTGCATTGTCAAGTGTGAGCATATCACATTCTCTATGTAATGGTTCTATATACGCCAGGCAAGCAGTAGTGGCAGGAAGTTTCGCGTTATCTGTTGGTATTGCTGCGTAACATTTCGTCATGTTGTCATTGGCATTTCCCGTAATCCTACCCAACTAACTAGTTCAAGACAATAAGACGTGTCTTACGCGCGAGCGTGCTATAAGTTGAAGGTGAAAAGAGCACCTTGGAAGTTTCTGATGACCTTGAAGTCAAATGTTCAAAGACATATTTTATATGCGGGAATGCTTGTTTTTCGGGTGATGCGCACATGCACTGTTGCGTTTATTTTATTATATGTTGAGAATTGAAATAGGTTTTTAATTTGTATTCCACTGATGTACTTAGTCCTCATTCTCATCTGTTATGTCAACCCTTCAGCAGGCTCGGCTTAAGAAGGATGGAGCTGCTTTTAAGGTGTATGTTTTGGTGCTGAAAACTGATTGTTTGTTGATCTGTAAATAATTGACGCGTTGAAAGCGGCGTATAGGTACCGTACATTTGTTGACTTTTAATCATGAATGCACATCACATCTTTTTCCACATCGCACCTTGAGTTGTGTTGCTTTTGTTGTACTGCATTTGCTCCTACCCTCGATCAAACTCGCAGAACTTACAAACTCGATCGACTAATCTCACAGCAGTCATCCGGCGGTGAAGTTTTGACGATAGCAGGGCCGTTGTAGCATGTATGTTACTGTTACGTTAGAAAAAAAGTCACATTGAATGAAAAGGTATATTTTGTAGACCTATCATGCAAACGTAGGGACTCGTAATGGTTCTGGTCATCACATACTATAAATACGGCTTAGTAGTTGTTATGTATATATGTTTGCTTGCCATTCCTTAAGGGGGGCTTATGTCGGGCTTGCGAGCCGACTCGACTGGAAGCAACTGGCTGCAATTCACTGCGACTGCAGTGCTTACGTCGGTGGACTGCGATGCGACTGCCTGCGACTGGCCGCCACTAGTTGCTCGGAATAGAACAATGGGCAAGTCGACGCAATTAGTCGCTGCCGATCGCTTCCAGTCGAGTCGGCTCGCAAGCCCGACATAAGCCCCCCTTTAGGTTGCTGCAGCGCTAGGCATCGTAGATCCGGATATATAGTGATAAGAATCATATACAACCCCCGTAACAAATGGATTTCTCCCAAAGATTTGTGATTTCAAGCAGTAAGCAATGTTTAACTTATCATGTGCTTTGTTCTGCAGTAAGTGCGTAAGAGACGATCAAATTGCAATAAAGGCCGCCACTACTGCGTGCTAACAAGATTATCATTCCGTGAAAGTTGTCATAGCCAGACTGCCCTTGCATCCATTTGTAATTGGACGAATTTCAACGTGGTAGGTGTCCGCCTTCGGCTTATGTTGATGTGTTGGTGCCGGTAGATTTCATACTGGCAGGTAGAGAGGAGAACAAGGGGTGTAATCATATATTTATTAAATTGTTGCACAGTGATATTTTAAAACCTATATTAAAATCATTATTGTTTAATAAAATTGTGCAAGTTTGTTAAAGCAGTTTGTTGCAACTGTGGTTATTTGTTGCAATTCACAAGGGTGTAACCTACCCAATCGTCTGCCACATTCATGCAAATTTTAGACTGTAATAGAGATGCAGTCTATACGCACTTCACAAAACGTGGTACACGTATTAATGTAATTTCTGCTGTTCTTTTCATTTATTCATTATTTGCTATATTACATGGTATCATCATGTATGTTTTTATACTCTATACTACAGAGTTTTGATATTTCCATGGTACTTTGTCGAAACATAGATCAGACACTCCTATACAACAATAGCAACCAAAACCCGCGAATTCACTTCACACAGCATATTTATTGAAAGCGTATACAAACGTGACAAGTTCAACTTCATAAGACAATAAACGCACTGTATTTAAAGCTTCACATCTATGTACCACATAGGAGCATGACAATTCTGAATGCAGATACAGTATATATATGATACCAGGAGTAAGATAATATAGGATTATAATCCTATATTATCTTACTCCTGATGATACGTATACTACACGAATGTAATGTCTTTGCTTATTATGTGTCTCTTATACTTCGTGCAGTTGCGGACTGAGCCTGCCTCTAGTAATAAATATTTCTCAGACGTGCACGTGCATAACATCAGTGGAGTCTTTAGAGCTGCTCGAGTGTTAATCTATGTACGACTAGATATATTGCACTAACATCTAGAGTGTGATAGAGAGATTACATCGAGATTCCCGCAGTAACCAAATAGTACTGTATACGCCATATTTTTCGCGTACAGATATTTTCGCGAATTTAGACGATGGAAAATTTCGCGGTCGGTGAATTATGAAAAATTCGGTGTGATTTATTCGCGTGTTGTTATTTTCGCGGTCGGGGACGCGTTCGCGAAAATTAAACCACCGCGAAATATACAGCGTATACAGTAGTACCTTCTCAACCTGCGAGGACTAGCCGGCAATGCCAACGCATCAGCACACTAGGGTCCGGGTTTCACAAGGCTATCCAGCAAGCTCTGTCCTATGCTAGAAGCTAGTGCAGTGATGGTACACTCGACTCCCATCCGAACAGATATGTCGTACGGCGTTTCACCCTTGTCATTTTTCACCATCTTGTTTGCGCCTTTCCTGAAAATAATGCACACCGCTACTAATGAGAAGGGCACACAAAGGCAATAGATATTGTGGTGGTTGCGCCGGTCACAGCATGTGCTCCCGGTGATGTGATTCACTGGGGAGTACAGTATATGTATGTTCTGTATGTACGTGTGTATAATCCCTATGTTGTTGCTTGTGGAAATGTGCCTATATGCTCCCAGTGAGGTGATTCACTGGTGCGTACAGTATATGTATGTTCTGTATGTACGTGTGTAATCCCTATGTTGTTGCTTGTGAAAATGTGCCTATATGCTCCGAGTGAGGTGATTCACTGGTGCGTACAGTATATGTATGTTGTGGATGAACTTGCCAGGTTTCGCAGTGAGCACCATGGGAGCTGGCAAAGCATCACTTTGCTGTTAGCAGTTGGCTGACAAGCATTGCAGTGAGAGCATTGCTATCAATTGCTGCCAGACTGCCAACGCATGTGAAAACAATGCTGTAGGTTGTGTCACAGCTTGGATTAGGGTTGAGCTTGACAGCACCCTGAGGAGACCCCAATGAGAAGGGTGTGTCAGTGGCCTGGGTAGCCAGCGACTATGGACAATACCTGTTTTCTCTGGTGAGTGAGCTGTCTGTATTGTGCTGTAATTGTTGGGGTGAGTAAATATAACATGTCGTTTTATACGGCCAAGGCTCACTAACTTTCTCGCGCATCCGGACGTACAAGGCAGGTGCCCGCAAATGCCACAGTTGCAGATAGGCTGTACTAACGCTACAATTAGTACTAGCTACATGTTACATAAAGTAGAAAATGCTTCATTTGACGTGAATCCCTCCCTGTTCCTGCCAGATAGGGGTATTCAGATTCCTCCTGAACTGAGGTCTATTTCTGGAAATCAATTTTCAATTTTTGTGGGTGTGCTTCACAACTCCAGTGCTTGCACTGTCGTGACTTTACTGGTACGAACGAGCTTCGAACTGCTGGCATTTCTCTGGACAAGAAACGGAAGTGCGCATGCGTTGCGTTGATTTCTAAAAATGGACCTCGGTTCGGTGTGTTGCATCGAGTGCCTGCCCCAGATAGGTAGCAAAAACGCTACTATATGATAGGACACAGTATGTATACATGCTACAATAATATGCACGAATACAAATATATCCAGCTATTTAAATTCAATTATGTAATACTGTATACTTATTTACCAGGTTTCAATTAGAGAAAGCAAGGGGAAGAAATCGGAAGGGCAAGGGCGGAGTGAGAGAGAGAAGAAAGAGAGGGGGATAAGGGAGAAATAGTGAGTCATTATGGTGACCACCATAATATATTATTAGTCTTTCGTATACCAATCATGACCCACTCAGAGATGTCATCCACAGACATTTAATCGGTAAATACTCACTCTAATAACATCTCTAGCATCTCCTTTCCTGCAGCCCCTAGCAGCACAGCTTCATGCAATGCTGTGTTCCCTTTACTGTAAAATTGCAAAAAAAAACGACACATAGAACTATACACTATCAAAATCACATGAATTCATGACAACTGTTATAGCTTGAGAAGTGGTCGGATCATAAAAAATGATAATGATGAAAGGGAGATTCATACAATACGAGTGACAAATACCTCAAATAAATATCCCCCAGTGAAACATCACGCGCAATTTCGAAACCATTGTTTCCGTTCCACTAAAAGTCTATTCGAGTTCACAATTTTTCTCAGCGACGCATAGTATAGCTCGTAAGGTCTATGTCTTCCTGGGTACTGCCGGATACTGCGGCTGCTGTTGTTGTTGCTGCTACTAATGTTGCTACTAACTGCTGTTATTGTTGCTGCTACTAATGTTGCTACTAACTGCTGTTGTTGTTGCTGCTACTAATGTTGCTACTAACTGCTGTTATTGTTGCTGACATTATTGTTTGTTGATTGTTGTTATTGACAACAGCAGCCGCAGTGTCCGGCAGTACCCAGGGAGACATAGACCCTATCAGCCATAGTAAACAAACGAAGCTGCAGTGGTAGCGCACACACCTGCCCTTGGTGTCTAGCTTTGCTGCGGCATCTATGAGCAGTGCTGCAGCGTCTGTATGTCTACTCCTCACAGCTAAATTCAGCACTGGATCGCCGTCATTGTTGACAAGGTTTGCGTCGGCTCCCTGCATGAAAGCGTATAACCAGATTTAGATTTTAGATTTAGATTTTTGAATTTATTAACGCTTTCAAATATTACATAGTTACATATGTCATAACGATTTGTCAGTAAATGCAGCGAGGGAGGGCGAGTTGACTACAGTCTTCAAGTCAACCACTCCGCAATATGAGGTTAGTTACTCGAAGTTAATCCATGAATGGCTGGATGATCGAGAAATGCAAAACTATACATGAGCGATGTATAAATAACAAGTGCCGCAGAGCGATAGCGCTCAACTGACGTGTACTGTAGCCGGGTATTCTTCTGATAAACTCACTAGCAACCGAATCAAGTGCTCCCTCCTGCCACCGCGTTTGTGCTCAGAGCATATATCTAGGATACTACTAATACAGATCTAAAATCTATGATAGGCTTTGCTATACCTACTGGTAGTACAGTAATAAAGATACAGCTGTGTAACTTTAATGACTTCGCTATATTAACATGTTATCATGGATATGCGTCGAGCGCGAGCGTAGTGGTGGTGGTGGTGGTGGGGGGGGGGAGGGGGCTCTAATAGCAAAAGCAGTTCAGTCCTTTGTTAACAGTCAACAAATCCATGTTTAACCCTCCTCTTGAGGGTCAAAAGGTTATCAGACATTTACTCTTCGCACGTCAGTGGAAAGTAGATTTCATGGTCCTTTCAATAAAGTGATAAAAACGGTAAGGTCAGCGCTGAAACAAAAAAGTTTTGCACTCAGTCCGTTAGGCCATGTCCTCAGAAAATGTCTGATATCTGACCTTTCCCCACTGCCCTTTGACCTGTGACCTCCAATTTCGCGCTGATGGGTTTCCTCCCCATCACACTATACATCGAATATTAAGAGCGTAGGTCTTAATAAGTATGTAAGTAATTAATAATTAAGTATGTGTATTAAGTGTGTAAGTAAATAATTAAAATGTAAGTAATACAATATTAAGGTTATTGTCACTTTTTGTCAATTTATTGTCATTTTTGACCCCCAGAATGCAGAAAATTGCATCTCAGAATCAAAATTTTTTCCGGGGGCATGCCGGACCCCCCTAGCAAACTCGGGACCCTCGAACTACTAATTTGATGGCCAGAAACTACAGATTGCTTCAAATATGTGTTGGCATCTCTGAATTACACGTTTGTCAGTTCTCGGTAAAAAACAAAATGGCTCGATGAACTTCAAAATGTAACACGATGCCAGTTACAATTAACTATAAATAGCGATAGTCACTAATATCGTGCTACTCAAGTCTCGATATCTCACTCTGCATATATATCTGTGCGTGTGTGACAAAGCAAAATCAACAGTTGTTTACTTGGTTTGATCATGCTGTGATCTGTAGTGCAAGATACTGACAGTCCGTACAACGTGTTTAACACGAACATACCAGATAGAGAAGCTCCTCCACCTGATCCGCTGCTCCCTCTCCTTCATCACCAACTTCTTTTAACAGGCTCTTGTCCACTGCCTATGAAAGCCAGTAAACGTAAGAACGAACGAGTAAAATGGGATGGATATGCTCGACACGTAATCATCAAAAGTATTTTTGTTGCAATTCTTCAACTGTATAACGTATAAGCTAATGGTAATCTCTTCACACACTAAACGTGTGCCCGTCACCTGCGTCAACACTTAACGTGAACAACAGAGCACCAATTGCAGTAACGAAATGCATTGTGGAAAATTTGCCAACCACAGCAGGTCACCTATGCTGAAAAGGTCTGTTTCTCTGGGTAGTTGCTGGTTTCTCTAAACCTAGCCTAACATATTCCTAACCTTAAGCAAAACTATAACTGAAAGTACACCAGTACGCTCCCAGCTTTTGTACCGAAGAAGAGGCAGACCCTTCTTGGTGCGACTTACACCAAGCTTCTGTTCCACGGTAAGGGTCCTTGTCTTCCGCTTGGAGCGCTTGCCTCTGTAGCTGAGGTTACTGCTAGCCCGGCTGCTGACCGTTCTTTTTGATCGCTGTGAGCTCTTGCTTCTGACTGTTGATCCAGCGCTACCTAGATTCCGGCGCAAAGAAGCGTTACTTTAGATTTACTTAGATTTAGATTTAGATTAGCGGTCAGTAGTGCTTATATCATGGCTCAAGTTCTTTCCGTCGTTGCTCCCTCTACTTGCTGTGGGCCATCGAAAACTGAACGAAGACCACGGAAGTAACATGACATGGCTGTTTTACCTGGTTGGCCTACGTACACCTCCTAGGGATTCACTGTTTTGTATATATCTCTTCCTGTACCACGTAATATGAGTTGTTAAAAATGAGTTGCTTTGGTGCCCCACCTGTCATGGAAATGTTTTTCTTGGGTCCCCCTCCAAACTTGTTGCGGTGTCATAATTTTCTTATTAAACCCAAAGCAACACTTGCATTACCATACAACAAGAAACAAAAATTCGATCCCACTTAGACTATATGCGAGTTTATATTTGGGTTCCCATGAGCACATATTATTAAATTCTGAGCCTCTTCCTAGATTTCTGTAGGCTATATACTATAGTTATATTAGCTATTTGGCGGGTCTTATTATTATTATTATTATTATTTATTATTATTACTATTATTATTATTCTAAGGAATGTACTACAAACATTGATATGAAAGTTAATATTCACCAATGCTGGCTGCAGAACCCATCACAACGCTTTCGGTGTCGTCCATCAATGTACTAAGGAAATTGCCTGTATGGTTTGCGGTCAGCATCTGTGCGTTCTTACTGTGAGATTCCGAGTTGCTTTTCAGAGCATACGTCACCGTCATCGTGAGTTCATACAGGTCCTCTTCTACTGTAGCCATGAGCAGCTGCAAACAAACAGGAGTTAGTTTTTAATAATTAATTATTATTAATATTATAGGCATACTATAATAAATTAAAATTACATAAATAATAAATATATATATCCGGAGTTAACGATGCATACATATCATACTCTCAATGCTTTTTTCTATTCTAAACAAATCTGGAGAATGCTAGAGAACTAATTCTGGAAATGCTGGATAGCACCATATGTATCAGGAGTAGATAATAAGGAAGGAGTGTGACTTCAATAAACAAGGAAAATTCATCATTTACAAGCCTTAGAATACCTACGATTTACTACGCGTAACTCAATCAACTTGAGCTCAAATCGTACACAGTACATTCGACTAGCACTGTGCGAAATCGTTTCCTCGTATACACCCGCAATCCGGAGATACAGACTAAAACGTACAACACGATTTTCCATTCTGTTGCCAGCAAACTCGATGTGTAAACTGCCTAAGTCGAAACAAAAGGCAGCTGTAAATAGGTCAAAGGTTAGCTCAGCGAGCCACACCACATCGCCGAGGGCGCAAGTCGTTAGTAGCTGCCTTTTGTTTCGAGTTAGGCGGTTTACACATCGAGTTTGCTGGTAACAGAATGGAAAATCGTGTCGTACGTTTTAGTCTGTATCTCCGGATGCGGTGTATACGAGGAAACGATTTCGCACGAAGCTAGGTGAATGTACTGTGTACGATTTGAGCTCAAGTTGGTTGAGTTACGCGTAGTAAATCGTAGGTATTCTAAGGCTAGTAAATGACGAATTTCCCTTGTTTATTGAAGTCACTCAATCCCTATTATCTACTCCTGATATGTATACACTATAGCAATACCTTTCCAATCTTTGGCTCAGCAACGAGAGCTCTAAACTCAGCGTTATTCTGTGCGTGAGCCTTCAGATGACTAGTGATGTGGTCCATTTGTTGTCTCCAATATCCTGCAATATGTAGCATAAACCTTTCTCAAAGATCTGGTGATCAATAATTATCAATGATAGTACCACACTGACTCGCAACCCAAGTCGCAGCAAATATTACATACGCAACTACTTCTACTATGTTGTTTAATGAAATGAACAGTTGCATATGGTTGTAGAGATGAAAAAACTAACGATTATACTAATCAAGAAAAAAAAAGAGACATACTTGACAACAGTAAATCTGCATGTCTTATTAATTTTACACATGAACCTTCGACGATATACTGTATACAAGGCTCGACACTAACTTTTTTTTTCAGTGGCCCGATCGGCCACCAAAATCATTGATTTTCAATTTTTGGTGGCCCGAAAATGAAATCTGGTGGCCCGAAAAAAAAACAAAGAAAAACATTATAAATCTTTATTTCAATCTCGTATTGTATATTATTTTCAAATTGGGCCGTCTGATGCACTTGCACAAGTCTTTAAACAAACCCCACACAATGGCACACACTGACATTGATGATTGAGGCATACATTTGAATTATCTATTCCACGGCATCAAATTTTCACCAGAATCTTGCATACCATTTTTCTACTTTCACTCATTATTTATCTAAACACGCGCGGTGCACATGCTATCGATCAGTTCAGACGTTCAAGAAGATCAAAGTCACAGAGCATGCAAATATTTAAAACAAGTAACTGTAATAAAACAACAACACATTGGCTTTTCATGTTAAAATAAAACATATACATTTAATCTCATGAAAGTTAAAATGTCTGGCAGGCTTTGAAACTGTAAAAATAAAAATATTGCAGATTTAATAAGATAAGTAGAACCATAATTATATCAACAAAGTAGCCTGGGTACGCATGCATTTAAAAAGAAAAGCAGCCATGTCTAAGACTAAGTTCAATATTTCGTTGCGTAAAGAGACAGAGAAAATGCATAAATAAACTTACAAAGCACTAATATTACACTTCGGATTAAATACTGTCATCTTCATTGAATAGTTCAGTTATTCTACGCGAACTTTCAAACGCTGGCAGTTTCGCTTCGGATCCGAAACAGTGAGCACCAGTGCAGCTAGCTAGCAATCAGGGTGACCAGACGTCCCGTATTTTGCCCATGTGTCCCGCGTCCCGTACCGACCCTTCCCGGGACGCATGTGTGTCCCGTATTTTTAACATTTTGAACAAAATACATCAAAAAGGAAGAAATTTCATCATTTTTTTATTATGACAATTGTTTGCCTTCGAACTCTCATCGCTCGCGTTTCATTTTACATATACGCCTCCACAGTACACTGCCAGACAGGCGTATTGTCTAGACGCATTGTCTGCGTTCGCTTATACAATGTAATCAAATGTATGCTGGCGGCTTGCAAATATGCGCCCGCTATGCTGCACGTGCGTACGTGTGCCCTCGCTCCGCGAATTGCTCGCTCTCTTTGAATGGAGATTTCAGCACGTAGAAACATTATTTTTATCACTAGACACTCTTGAAATTTTATGTGCGCCCGATCGGCCACCAAATGTTAACTTTTGGAAATTATTGGTGGCCCGACATTAAGTTTTGGTGGCCCCGGGCCACCGGGCCACGCTAGTGTCGAGCCTTGTGTATACGCAGTATATTTCGCGGTGGTTAATTTTCGGCGAATTTCGCGAACCGTCCCCGACCGCGAAATAGACAACACGCGAATAATCATACGAAAATTCATAATTCACCGACCTGCGAAATATTAACCACTCGCGGAAATTGTCTGTCCAAGTCTAAATTCGTGAAATATTGTGTACGCAAAAAATATGGCTTAACAGTATCCTAATTATAATATATATGATATATATATGGTTCTTAGACGCAATTACCCCCCATGCCATTTACCCCCCGGACATTTACCCCCGGACAACTTACCCCCGACATTTACCCGCCTTCCAATTACCCGCGGACTTTTATTATTACGCCCCCAGGACATTACCCTCAGACACATTACCCATTACCCGGAAATTCTACCCCCGGCATTTACCCGCGGACATTTACCCCGGAACCATTACCCCCGACATTCACCCCGGACATTCTTACCCCCCGGACATTTACCCACGAATTCACCCGGACAATCACCCCCGGATTTACCCACCGGACATTTTACCCACGGACATTCACCCCCCGGACAATTACCCCCGGACATTTACACCGGACAATAACCCCCGACATTTACCACCCCCGGACAATTACCCCGGACATTTTACCCCCGCCGGAATCACGCCGGACATTTACTCACTTGCGTGTGTTATTATTCATTGTTAAACAGTGATACAACATGGAGGTCGAAGGAGGAGGGAAGAAGGTGGTGGAGGAGGAGTGGGGAGAAGGTGAGGAGGTGGTGGAGGAGAGAGGGAGAGGAGGTGGAGGAGGAGGAGGAGGTGGAGGAGGAGGAGGGGGAGAACATGGGAAGAACGTGCGTGGAGATGAGGAGGAAGGAGAGTGGAAGAGGAGGAGGGGGAAGGTGGAGGAGGAGGAGAGGAGGAGAGGAGCGAAGAGTAGAGGAGGTGAGGAGGAGGAGGGGTAGAACGTGGGGAGAAGGTGGTGTGAGAGGGAAGAAGGTGGAGGAGGAGGGGGGGAGAAGTGGAGGAGGAGGAGAAGAGGAGGTGCAGGAGGTAGACGAAGGAGGAGGTAGGGAGGGCCAGGTGAGTGGAGGAGGGGAGAGGTTGTTGGTGGGGGGAGGGAGGATGGGAGGAGGGAGAAGGAAGAGGAGGTAGGAGGAGGGGAGCGAGGCTCGCGAAGAGGAGGAGAGGTGGAGGAGGGAGGCAGAGGAGATGGAGAACGAGGAGGGGGAAGAACGTGGGGAGAAGGTGGCGAGAAGGAAGGGGGAGGATAGGGGAGAGCGGTGGAGGAGGAGGAGGAGATGAGTCGTGGACAGAGAGGCAGAGGAGAGGAGAGCGTGGGAGGGAGGAGGTAGAGGAGGGCGCCCTCTACCTCCTCTACCTCATCCACTGTCCCCTCCTGCCTCCTCCTCACCTTTCTTCTCCTCTCTCCTCCTCCAGCCACGCCTTCTCCGCCTCCGTCCTCGCCACCTCCCCTCCCTCCCCCCACCTGGCCCTCCGCATACCTTCTCCCCCCTCCTCCTCCCCCCCTCCTGCCTCCTCCACCTCTTCGTCCCTCTCCCTCCCCACTTCTCCCCACGTTCTCCCCCTCCTCCTCACCTCCTCTCCTCCTACGCCTCCCTCCTCCACCTCCTCCTCCTACTTCTCTCCACTCCTCCTCCACCACCTTCTCCCGCGTTCTCCCCCTCCTCTCCTCCATCGCTCTTCTCCTCTCCTACCCTCCACCACCTTACTCCCCTCCATCCTCCAGCACACCTGGCCCTCGCTACCTCTGCCATCCTCCTCCTCCTCCACCTCTTCGTCCGCCCTCCTCCTCACGCCCACCTTCTCCCCAAGTTCTCCCCCTGCCTCCTCTCCACCTCCTCTCCTCCACTCCTCCTCCTCTCCTCTCATCCCCACATTATACTCGCCCCCTCGTCTGCCTCCTGCACCTTTCTCCGCCTCCTCCTCCTTCCAACCACATTCTCCCCCTCCTCCTTCCACTCTGCTCTTCCCTCCTCCCTCCTCCTCCACCTCCTGCTCCTCCCTCTCCACCACCTTCTCTTCACCTTCTCCCCCTCTCCTCCACCAACTCTTCTCTCCTCCTCGACCTCCTTGCCTGTATCACTGTTCAACAATGATAATAAACACCAGTGGAGGTAAATGTCGCGGGGATAATCTGTCCGGGGGGTAAATGTCCGGGGGTAATTGGTCGGCGGGTGGTAAATGTCCGGAGGTAAATGTCGGCGGGGTAAAATGTCCGGGAGGTAAATGTCCGGGGAAGTACATATTATTGTCCGGGAGGGTAATTGTCCGGGGGAGGGTTCCCCCAAATTGTGCCGGCGGTAAATGTCGGCGGGGGTAATTGTCCGCTGTGCGTAAATGTCCGCGGCGGAGTAAAAAAAAAAAAAAAAAACAAAAAAAATAATGTGTCCAGGGGTGATTGCGCGAAGGGTGAATGGCATGGGGGTATATGTCCGGGGGGTAAATGTCCCGAGGGTAATTTCGCAGGGGTAAAGTTCCGGGGGGTAATTTTGCTCCTTGAGGGTATTGCGGCAGGGTAAATTCCGGGGTGGTAAATTGTCCGGGCGGTAAAATGTCGGGGGGTAAATGTCCGCGGGGCGGGTTTTTTAAAATTGTCGCGGGGGTGATTAGTCCGGCAGGGGTGAATGGCATGGGGGGTAAATGGCATGCGTGGGCTAATTGGTCTGGGGGGTAATTGTCCGGGGGTAATTGTCCGGGGGGTGATTGTCCGGTGGCGTATATTGTGTCCGTGACACCATATATATATATAATATATTCATACTCCCCGATGAGTTAATTGCATTAAGTAATCAAGCGTTCACTCTGTCATCTCACTGACTACAGTAACTGCTTGTACCTCGGCCAGGACTTATGGCGGTAAGAGGAGGGTGCTTATCGCGCATGGCGCGCTCCACGGCAAGACGTGTCTGCTTCTCCTGCAGAGTCTTGTCGATGTGAGCCTGCGACGGATAGAAGAGGCCCACTGTCTGCGTGCTACTCGTTGCCGTGGTTGCTCCGGGTGCCGTCTGCGTCATTACCGTGCTTGGTGTCCAGGACACTGACCTGAGTGGTGTCGTTTGTGTGGACTATTAGAAGAAAATTGTACGCACTGTATTTAATACGATTATTAATATTTGACGTCAAGTAATATATGTATACATACATATCAGGGGTTAATAATGACAAATTTATCATAATTTTACATAATTTGTCATTATTATCCCCTGATACATATAGATACTGAATGATAGTATTCATTATTTCACGTTTATCAAGAAAATAGTCTGAAAGATTAAAAAATGCATGTCTATAATGACAGTAATCATCGCAATGCATCATTTATATTTCTAGTATTTTATTGTTTATGTTGAAATTTTATCAGCACTCTAATAATAGAGTAAAAAACACTTTATGCAAGCCATTGTAAGATATGCGTAAATAGTACAATTAACTGCTATTACCTCCGTGCTTTTGTCCTTTGTGACAGTAACGGGAACTGGTAAAGGTTTACCAGGGGGTTCGATGACTGAGCCACAACCATGGCAGAACTTGGCATACATATTGCTCACAGCTCCACACCTGCCACACGCCAGAGTCATGCTGGCCGCGTGTGTAGGCTAGTGAGGGTAAGTAAAACATTCAGAAAAGGTAGAGAATAAAAAAAAAACATCACTTCATCACCACATGCAACACGTCACTACTTCAACAAGAGCAGGAAGAAAGATCTATATACATAACCATTCATAATAGTAGACAGAACAAAATTAAAATTCAATACTCCAAACTAATATATCTATAAGTGTTTATACCAAGACTGCGTTGTATGCAACAGACAGGACAGACCTTTGAACTAACTGGTGCATGCATTTAAGGTTATTCCAATATATTCAGTCTGTAAAATGCTCCGACACAAAATCTGTACGTTTCTCTAGCTAATTATACAACTTTTAAAAAGGAGTGAAGTGTCGGGGACTTAGCTTGATCATTTCTATGAATAATATGCAATGTAGAGTAACTGGCTTCGTGTCTGAGGTCATAAGAACAACCGGTGTAATCTGAACAGCCACATTAAAAAACTACAACATGACAGTAAAAAATAACTCATCATGACACACGTGACCTCACACATTTGGCCTCACACCGTTGGCCTCTATTTTCGATGTTGTCACTTTTTGTGCAAGTATGACCACGTTATTCCACTACAGCTCGGAGATTTAGTGCAATATTTATAACTTAGGACAACGATGACAGCATTTTGAGCCGTCTAAATTTGCATAAAATCTTTGGGATTTTTAAAACTGACCATTTTAAGTTCAAAAATTAGATCTTGCCCTACACCACACCACATTTTATGCTCGCAACCTTTTCGACAATGATGCAACATTCACCCTACAACTACACATGCCTCGAAACGATTTGCAAGTCGAGAACAAAACAAACCTTGGCTCCGCACCAGTCGCAGAATCGAGCATCCTCGCTGTTCTGCCGGCCACATGTAACACAGCTCAGGAATTGAGTTTCATGCTGGTGTTGAGGCTGAGGCGGTGCAGCAACTGCTGCGCGAACTCTCTGGTGGACATAATAACAGCAGGCGTGTATAATATAGTCTATATACAGGTAGGTCCCGTTTACGATGGTCCATTTTACGACTTTTCACATGTTTCACATAAACGACCATTTTAAAATTACCTAAAAAATTGAATATAACAAAGAAATCACAACTCATATCACATCGCAGTAACCCCTGTGAGTCCAAACACGCAATATGCACTTCTTTTGTTTTTCGTGGTGCATTGTGGATGGCATGATAGCATTTAATTGCATTATAATTTGGTCGTGTTATACGACTTTTCATTTTACGACCCTGTTTTACTGGAACCTAACCTTGTCGTAAAACAGGACCTACCTGTATTATACAGTCCTGATAACAGTAGATGCACAACATATTTACAAATTACATGCTCATTTGAATGTTCAAACGGCTGCAACTATCAGTGCAACTCATTAGGCAGTAAGATTTTATGCCAGTCGCCACTACAATGGTGTGCTCAGTGCAACGAAATACCGGCCAACTCTGCAGTAACCCAAGTTCATAGTAATTTTCGAATTGTTGATGCTTACCTCAATTTTTTTCGGGTCCAACTTTGATTCACAGATCACGCATGATGTGAAGTAAGGAGGATTTGGTGTATTACACATTGAACAAATGAGCTTTTCCTTCAACAAACATGAGAAGCAAAACACGATTATAGTAATATTGCTTTTTTCACGTTAAAATAATAATTGCCTAGGAGACCGAAACAGGCATTACACAGAATATATATATATATATATTAAACTGCGAGGCTACGCCTACGATGACGACGCTATATGGCGCAGGATAGCGTCCCTTGGCAAGAAGTCCTGTTGATCGACGGCACAGCTTAGCTGAGACGGCCGCAGAGAAATCTTGTTGCTTGATTGCCAGGTAGTTTAGTTTTTTAGCCGAAAGGCACTGAGGGTGGTCACAGCCAGAGTTTTTTTTGCGCCATCAGTGGTTCTTTTACGTCCCCATTGGTTTTAGTATTACTGGAGACGGGATCCACATTTTACGTAGTCATCCGAGCCACGGGAGATTCACAGTCTCCAATGTTGAGAGCCAGGTTTTTTACACCTTGAAAAAAAAATTCACTGCCCCGGCCAGGGTTTGAACTCACAGCCTTCAGTGGACAGTGTACGAGGCCTAACACCTGGGCCACGGAGGCTCGGGCTCGAGCTTATAAGCCACGAGCTTAGAATATTATCATGCAATATAATTGCATGATGAAACAAATCGCTTTTAACCCAGTTAAAGTAACTGGAAATGGCAGTCAGCACTATTTCGGGAGTTTATACAGACACAGTATGCACGGCAACCAGCATGATGTTTTGTAAGCTAGTGTCGTCTACCTTCATGCTTCTAGCCTGTGCTTTCTGGCGTGGAGACAGTGGTGCTTCACATATAACACAAGTCGTTGTGTTCAGGGGAACCATAGAGTTGCATTGCACACACATACCCATCTGTAACAACACAGATACACCATACGTTTGGCAAAAGCAAAATAGCATTGTTATACGAATTAGGACTAGGATTTAATGGAAGAACATTTCTTCACATCATTACCATAAAACCCACATACAATTACATACAACTCTAGATCCCATGCCCTGACTAACTTTAAAAAATGTCCTCTGATGGACAGAAAGAATGAATAACTAATTTAGTCCGAATGAGATAAAAATGTAACAATTAACATTAATCTTTCTTATTGTAGCATTTCGAAGTGCACGAATGTATAGATATAAAATTTTAATCGCTTTTCCTTTAAAGTTCTATGAAACGGATGCAGTTACATGATTGGAACAGAATATGAGAAAAAACCTGTTCTGGATCAGGGTCAGGCAGCCTTTCCACGGGAACAACTGGTAGTGGGGCGCCACACTCGCCACAGAACTTTGCATGCGGATCAGTTGGCCTTGATGCAAAGCAGCGGCTACACCTGCATCATATGCAAATATATGACAGCTTAAAAAAAAACATGTTAGTTTTATTACATTTAAATATAATTTTGATAAACATTATAACATAAATTAAATGAATCAAAAATCAAAAATAAATAAAATTCAACATTAATAATAAAGAAATAAACATTTTAATTACATTTAAACGTTACGTTTACATCGCATTACAACACATTAGATGTATCATAGTAGCATGAGCTACGCACTGTTAGCACATTACGGGGGCCATCTTTTATATGTGAACGAGGCAAAACAGATGTTTTATGGAATAACACATGGCCACTGATATTTAGGTCATTCCTCATTATAGCTAAGCACGTGTGCATCTTCTGTGTATTGACCAACCTTAAAAAGTCTTGCTCTTTCTGCAAACGCGTCGCTTGTGTGGCACCATCAGGTAATCTATAGGCTCTGGGCTTGACTTCCGGTGGGACAGCCATTGGTTTCGTTGGCACTCTGCTTCCATCTCCTCCCCCGAGTCTGTGGTTCAGAAACCGTGTTGCTGTGGGCAGCAGACGGTGTTCACTCGCAGCAATGTTTAGGTCTACAGAAAAAAGTAGCAAGGAAATTATTTACATGCAAAATGAAGTATATAACCAAACTTTTATTTACGATGTTTTTACATGCATATTGATGCTACTATGAGATTTCATATACTAAGCTGTTCATTGCTAGAAAACAAGCTTTAAAATACAAATAAATCGTAATAAGGAATAATAGTTTTAGTTTCATAATTGATAAAAATAGTTCTTTTTCATTTTTATGTTTTAATGAGATTATTTTATGGCCATATAATACTTTACCTGCCATTATTCTTTCCACAGCTGACCATGCTTCAAATCTGTGCTGGTCTCGTGCCTGCAGACAAACACAGGCAAAACTTGCAGAGCTGTTATTTTTAAATTGCCATTTATCGATCTATTATATATCTTCATCATTGACCATATCTCCATAGGATACTTTTATGTGCATAGAAACAGCACAAAAACTAAACCAATCGCAACACAAAAGCCTTTTGATTAAACATACTAAAGGTTTGTTGCTATGTGTGTGTCCAACGACATCTGCACTTCTAGCTCTGGATGAACTTTGGTTGTTCAGGCCAGGATCCACTTGAAATGCCTTGGTAACCACTGCACTTTCTCTTACTCCATCACTACTAGCGGAAAATAAGACATGAATCAGATTTAAAGGGATCCTTTACTCTAGGTTCTAGGGTTATTTTCAGTTAATTTAGGTTAAAATTACGCTACATAAAAAGTTTCATGGTTCAATCACCATTAGAAATATTTTTTTTAATGTTTTAAAACTAACGACTACAGTTTGATTACAACGACGGTGGCGCCACTCAAAGCGCAAAATCTGAAAAGTTGCGCAAAACGATTTTTCAGCCAAGGGCTACAGAATGAGGGTCAGGGGTCGAATTAAACGACGGCACCAACGGCAATTGCCGTCGGTGCTCCTATCAATCGCCGTACTGGCCCTGAAAATCCAACCCGAGCGACGGCAGTGACCTGCCTTGCCCTTTTCTGTAATTGCTGTCGGTGCCTCTGGCTAGACTGGTTCGCGGCCGCACTGTTTGTCGCAGAGCGTGTACATTGTCTAGCAGAGCGTGAGGCCGGATACCAGTCTACCCTTCGGCAAAAACAATAACGTGGCTTGCTGCCAACCGCTGCCAGTAGACGATCGATATATCGTGCGCCTATGTATGCCCGTGGTAGAACACGAATATTTAAATGCTGCACGTGGACTCGGCCCGCGCGCGATTTAAAGCGCGGGAAACGACGCTCGCGCAAGAATGGCCAGCTGTGATCTGTATGGTCTGTAGCTTGCTAAGTGCAGTAAATTTAGAGAAATTTTAGTAGAATTCATACGATGACACAACGTTTTTCATAACAATGGCCTTCGTGCCCTTCTCAAATTGTGAGAGTTGCCTTGATGCCTTTTAAAATTGCCTCGGTGCCCATCCATTTTAGAGAAAATTCAAGGCAATTTCTCACATGCCCCCAAAAAATTGTCTTGCCCCTCTCGTCGCTTAATTCGAGGCCTGCCGAGGGTGTTTCTTATATATTAATTTAAAAGCAAAAGGATTGTAATATCTTATAAACGACATATGGTTTCAGTTATATTATGGACAAACTTGTTCTAAAATGAACATCGTTCGGTTAAATAGCATTTAGGTATAAACAGGCTTTCAATTTTTAAGGGGCGCCGATCGCGCTCGCGTCCACGCGCACCCGAAATTGTGCCATGGTGCGCGTATCATCGCGCCTCATAAAAGTGTTGAAATCGCAAACAAAAGTATGTCTATTATGTTGAAATAGCGCTCCATAGAATTCTCAATGTAGGGGGGTACAAAAAAGGTTAGCAAACACACAACAATTTGTGGTGTGTAAAGTGACTGAAACGGTATCGCAGAGGTACAGGTCTGGTTACTACCTCTGTTTATATATATATATAAAATTACAACTAAACAACAGCATCCAAATACAGGTACCTTTACGGTAGCACAAGTTACCTGCTCGTTTCTACTATACGTGGCGAGAAGTGGTTTTCTGCGACGTGAAACAGTCGTAGGCTGGAGGGGCTTACATACGTGGCTACTACGTACAAGTAATTTGGCTAGTTTGTTGATGGATTGTGATGATATTTTGTGCTGAAATTATGCAGGTACATGGATTAGAATCTCTAAGGATGGAAATCAGAATAAATAAAACAAGTTTATTTTTACAATCCGATCAACTCTTTTATTAATCTGTTGCTAGTGTTGGGTTGTTGATGAAAAGAATGTACTAACGAGCCATTGAATGAATGAAGGTGAAGTATGAATGATAATCAGTAGATTGACATGCATCCCAATTTTCGTTTGAATTTACTCTAGACTGAGGATTGGTCATGTTACATCATCACCCCAAGAGGCATGATGGAGAGCTCAGAAGCTCTCCATCATCCCTTTTAAAGGTGTGATTTTTAGTGGAGCTCTTCATCATGCCTCTTAAGGTGTGATTTTTTAGTGGAGTCTCCATCATGCTCTCTATGGTGTGATTATGAGGCGTGAAAAGTCCCCTGTGGTGTCCTAGGGGATCATTAGTAGTCCTCCTGTACTTTTCAAATCTGAAAGCCTGGGTTAAATTATAATTGCACCTTTGTGATTAGCCCTCGGTCTGTAACGTGCAAAATATATTGGAAATGCGCAACTTTTTCAGGTGGCAGCACCGGTCGTGGGTGTCAATTGGCGCCGTTCAATTTCGTAGCGTTGATGTATAATTAATTATAACAATTAAATTAGGTATCTTTGTAACAATTACGTGTGGGTATAGACGATTTGTTATACAGTAAGTACAGTTGTATGCAATAAAATCCTAGAGTCTAGTATCCCTTTAAGATAGAAACCCTACACGACTACAAAAGCAAAATTTATATTGCTCTAAAACATCTCTACAATAATACAAAAAATATACAAATATCAGATTTATTATACTTCTTTAAACCAAATTTGTTAATGTTTCACATTTTATAGAATTAGGAATCCCAAGTAAATTGGCGTACGCTGTGGTAGTTACTTTGGGAGTTTAGAAAGTGTAATAGTAACAAGAGCCGCAGAGCGCCTGGGCTCATCTGAGGTCTGTTGCTACGGTTATAAACGTAACATTTAAGTTGTGCGTAGTGACACCTTTGCTAGGCGCAGATATGCAGATACACAGTAGCGTACACATCATTTCAGCAACCTTCTGCATTCTGCATACCTTTCAAATCGCATTGGTTGATAAATCGCGTGCCTGAAACTCCTGTTTTATGGTTGCATTGTGACCTAACCCTATTAAAAAATATATATATATAGATAGAGATAAAGATAATATGGATAAAGATAGAAAAATACAGAAAACAGGTAAATAATAAAAAATCAGATGGATTCGATCCAACGACCTTTCAGCCATGACGCTTGTGCTCTACAGCGTTCGGCTTATCCAGGCTTATTGGGTTTCTAGTTTATGATGTGCCATGAATATGACACACTGTACGTCATGAAGCAGTTCAGAATCATGTTTAACCCTCTCTCTGAGGGTCAAAATGTTATCAGACACTTACTCTTCGCCACGTCTAGTGGAAAGCACATTTCATGGTCCTTTCAATAAAGTGATAAAAATGGAGGTCAACGCTGAAACAAAAAAGTTTTTCACTCTGTCCATTAGGCCATGTCCTCAGAAAATGTCTGATCTGACTTTTCCCACTGCCTTTGACCTGTGACCTTCAATTTCGCACTCGGTGATGGGTTTCCTGCCCACACACTATACACCGAATATTAAGAGCATAGGTCGAGCCGTTAAGATTTGTGCCGCAATTCCGTATTTCCTCCATACCTTAAGTTAAGGGGAAAATATTCCCTCCGTTTACACATCTTGACCTTTGATCCCCAAATTTGTCATCCTGAGTCCTTTTCACGGATTCCCCCCCCCCCCCCGACGTCCCGAATATCGTGACCGTACGTCGAGCGGTTAAGATTTGTGCCCAACTGTTGACGCACGGACGGACGCCTGGACATTCATGCGATTCTACAAGCTGCATCTGACTTCGTCAGATGAGGTAAGAATAAAGATTTGCCAATACAATTCTGTGTCAGAACCATTTTTTCTCCATTATATTTAATTTGAAGTTTCATATTTGCACTTAAGTAAAAAATAAAGTAAACAGAAGTAAGATCAGTAATGCCTGCTATGGTATAATATTACTATCAGTCACATTGGCGTGGATGACAAATATCTTTCAATACTGTACTACCAACAAACTGTTCTGATAAGATAAATTCATATAAAAATGCCATGAAAAGTTGAATTAGGAATACAGGTAAATATTTATGGAAACTGAGTGTGTGTAAATATGCTGTTCCAGTGAATCTGCTCTAGTCACACCACATGTTATCTCTGAATACGAGTTATTAAATAAAGTGATAATTTTACCTTGCAAGTGCTACAGCCTTTATCCCAACTTTTCCTGGATGTAGCTTAAAAGGTTTACTGTACTTAAACGTGCATCTAACGTCGCCAATGCCTTCAAATGGATTCGGTTTAGTCCCATTCACAGTGTAGAATATTGTGGAACCAGGAGTCTCTGAATGATTATTAAATTATTAAATTATTATAAAATGATTATTAAAAGTATGAATATATAATACACATACACAAGTACATATCGTGTGGAAAATCATAGTATTACCTGACTTGAGTTCAATAAAAGTCTCAGTGTCCACACAAAGCTTATTCTTTCCAGCTGGTGGCCTCAACGGTACAACTGTTGGCACTGACACCGACCCAGCTGTCATGGTGATAATAGAATTGGAGAAATTCTTCCAAGCCTATTTTAAATCCTGTAATAAAATATTAATAATATAGTATGGATAAAAATAACTATGGACAAGTAACGGTACCGTGGCGTACGTGTAAATAAAACTGTGTCACTGGCAATGGCAATCGGGCACTGGCACTGGCGCTGAGAGGGTCTATGTCCCCCAGGGTACTACCGGAACGTACCATGGGTACTGTCCGGTATACCGGAACGTACCCAGGTACTATCAAGAGTGCATAATAGAGAAGAGTATGACACGGTTTTAACAGCGTTTTGCATAGTTTTCAACTTGTAAATATTCTATCAATATGTGAATAAATATATTCAAACTTTACCTTGTTTTCGTCTATGATTCTCCCTTAATCATATGACACCACCAATTTACCTGAAAATCGTATGTGTTCTTCAAAAAAGTTATTTGAATACGACACGGTTTCGTACAGTTTTCATGCATGGATGCATGTTTCAGACCAAACTTTGTTATGAGATTAGTGTTCTATTGTCTATGACGGAACTTTGGGGGCCGTATGGGATATTAGCATTGAATTGTATTCAGCGTGCAGCGTTTCACGTGCTAAAAATAAATGTGCTCACGGCTCAGCTTAGCTAAGCAGCTGATTCCTTTACGCGCCCCCAGCGTACCGCTCATGACAATAAGAACACTAATCCATCAAAAAGTATTGGCTCTGAAACATGCATCACTTGCTCCGTGAAAACGTTACGAAACGTGTCGTATTCAAGATAAACTTTTGAAGAACACATACGATTTTCAGGTAAAATGTGGTGTCATTATTGATTAAAGAGAACTCATAGACGAAAACAAGGTAAAGTTAGAATAGTATTTATTCAGCATATTGGAATAGAATATTTACAAGTTTGAAAACTAGCAAACCGGCTGTAAATACCGTGTCATACTCTTCTCTATTATGCACATCTTTGGTACTATCTAATATGCCGCGGACCATAACCTCGCCTATCCATTAACTGAGTACTTAAAGAGGGAAGTCGCCTACGCCTACTTTGAGGGATCATAGCGGTCATGTCCGCCCAGGGTTTACTGCCGGAACGTACCTTGGGTCACGGTCCGGTTTATACCGAACATACACCTGGTAACTATGCTCAGTACTGATAATGTTTAGCGGTTGGGGTTGGTTAATGTTAGGGTAGGGTTAGGTCCGCAGGGGTGGGCAAACTGCGCCCAGCGGGACGCGCTGCAGGCAAATAAAAAAATAAGATAATAATTAATTTTTTTTTTTTTTTTAAATCAATAAAATTTTTGCAAAGTCAACATGTTTGTGCTATGAACCGAGGCTGACATTTCAGTGTTCATAAGAATTTAGTGTTCTAATTTGTCTCTGACGTTCGCTCTGCAAGCGCCATTTCAGGCTAATTATGGGCCAGAGATTGGGACGCCCCTTGAGGCGAAACGCACTTATTATCGCGCGTGTAATTACGTTAATTACGTAACGCGCGTGTAGAGCGGCACCGTCCCCGATTTAAAAGGTGCTGCCCTTTGACTTTCATGGCTGCCACTAATGCCGGCCACCGCTTGAAAAAGTTTGCCACACCACTGGTTGGGGAGTAGGCTAAGGCGACTCCCTAGACACGTTAGTGAGTAGCGGGAGGTACGTCCGGCATATTAGATAGTACCAGCAGAGGCATTGCTGTAGAGAGATATGCTTGGTACCAGTACGTTCCGGTATACAGGACCGACCCAGGGAAACGTTCCGGCATAACCGGGACATAATACGCGTTCACTACGTACCGTAAAACCCAGTTACGAACGCGTATTCTTACGGACTCCGTAACGATACGCATAATATGATTTTATAATATTTAGCGTGACCTTGAGTTAAAACAGCGTTCACACCCGTAGTTTTGGCAATGTACAGTACGTCGGCTGTAAACACAAACAGCTGTAATATTATGTTTTATGCATTACAAAAATTGCAAATGTAGTCAACAACAACGTGTGCTGTTGCTGGCTACCAATCGTAACAGCATTTTCGGAAAACATGGTTTTACAGCTATCTGCATACATGTCACAAACCAATTAGCAACATTTATAACTTAATCTTAATTTGGTTCAAGATAGAGATGAGTCCAGCGGCCCGTTGTCAGAAACAAAAATTAGTCTTTAACATTAGTCTAACAAACATTTCTTCGTAGACCGTCGACAGCTGCTTTGTTTTCCTATTTTTTAATACGCGTATAGCCATAAGCCAGGTCGTTCACCAACTTTGTCACGGACCGCTAATCGTGGTTGTAATAGCTATAAGCGTCCGGTTCACAATGTTGAAAGGACGTCCGCTATAACGCGTATAGCTATAGCCGGTCGTTCACACGTCCGCTATACGCGTATAGCTATAGCCGGTCGTTCACACGTCCGCTATACGCGTATAGCTATACGAAGTACGTAGGAAACGCACTCATTTTGTCAGGATAGTGATACGCATTTCGAACTGAGTATAGCTATACGTGGTCGTTCAGACGAGGGAAATTTATCGCGAGTACGTACGAAACTCTGTTTCGTACGCGTACGAACCGTGGATTTTGCTACGTGTGAACGCGCTAATAGACCCTCTCTGGTTCTTACTATTACGAGTCTTAGCCCTACTTCGGAGTACTCCCTAACCCTAACCATATTATCATTATCAAATAGTTACCAGGGTACGGCAAGGTACCGGTAATTAATTTACTTCATACTCAACATCAATAAAAAGCAAGTTATTAGAGGCCAAGCCAAAAAAACACAGTCACAGATACACTACTAGTACTAGATATAATAATGTAACCCAAACCCAGTAGGATAGGAGGATAGGACAAACCCAAACCCTATCCTCCTGGGTTTGGGTTACATTATTGTATCTACAGATACACACGCAAGAGAGGTTGAAAGCTTGCTTCGTCGCTCGTTCATGAGTGAGTGACGTCACGTCCATGCGGACTCACAATTCTGCTTTAAGGTGCATTGTGACCCTAACCCTAACCCTAATCCTAACTCTAAAAAATAACCCTAACCCTATTAAAAACAAAATTAATTAAATATTGTACAGTCGAAACTGTGACGTATGTCTGACGTATGTGAACGACGAAACAAGCTTTCAACCTTTTCGATACACACACAAATAAACGCAGCCATGATGTAAATATTTATTGGCGTTACTAGGCCAAAAATAGCGTGCTGGGTTCCGATTGGTAGATATATTTTGAATTAAAACCAATGCAGAACATTATAGAAACTCTAACTAATTTATTTCAAGGTACCTTATTTCAATTAAACTCGATTACTTATTTTTGTTGCTATTTTCGTGATATTTTTCATCTCTATAAACAACCGAGCAGCTAATCTAATCACGCCCTCTAGCGGATCATTATAATTGTAAGTAATAGTTGATTTATCCGTAAAAACCAGATAACCAAAACAATGACCTATGTAACATCTTGGGATGATTTTGCAAAAGCTGCAGAAAGAATATACTTAGCTGATCATCTATATAGAGTAAGTGTTTATTTACTGGTAGTGGTACTGCCTCTTGGCAGTCTTCACATTCACAATCACAGTTCACAGCTTCACTGTCGTGGCGTCATTCAATCATTGTCCTTAGCCACAAGTTCCGGCCCAAGGATAGAGAACATGGGTCCCAATAAAACCAATGTGCCTAACCCTAACCCTAACTCTAATTCTAACCCTAACCCTCACCCTAAACCTAACCCTAACCCTAACAA